TCTGGCCACGGCCCCGGGGGAGCGGGACGTGGCCTCGGCTCGTGCTGGCCCCCTCCCTGCACTGGGGTGATGGCTCTTCATGGACCATTTCCAGCAGCCACAGCTTCTCCAGGGCCCTTCCCCAAGTCAGCTGGTTGCTGTCAGCCTCCTTCCCCCCTTCAGCACTAGACAGCTCAGACCCTGGAGGGTTTTGGTATAAACACAACTTGGAGCTGAGCAGGGTGGCTGTGGGGAGCTGGGCTGCCTCCAGCCACCAACACCAGCTGCCAGCAAAGCCTCTCCGGGCTCCAGTGCAGGCACATCACTGGGTCCAGCCCTGGCACAGGGACCCTTCCCGTCTCCTTGTCCTGAAGACCACTTCTGGCACCTGGTGTCAGAGCCCAGCCAAGGTCCCTCCCCACAGGCTGAGTGCACCCCACGGTGCCCCTTCCCCACAAGGGTACCACTAGTGCTGCAGGGACATGGCCCCCCAGGACTGTCCAGTCCTTGCACGGCACCTGGTGAAGTTCCCAGGGAGCCCAGACCATGCCAGCAGCAGCGGGTGCTGGGCTGGGGAGGGTGTGAGCCCTTACCCCTCTGCTTCCCATTCCAGAGAAGCGTGTTCCTCTACTCATCCTGTATGAGAAGTACAGGGAGAGCCTGACCCAGGACAACATCATCAAGGTGGTGGCTCTCCTGACTGAGTACCAGACCGGTGACATCATTGTGGCCATCAGAGATGTCTACATCCAGAACCCAGAGATCAAGATCAGGGTAAGGGCCCCGTGCCCTGTGTCAGGTTGGGGGGTACATTTCCCATTGACAAGGTGTTTGTCCCAGTGCCCCAAGCCCTGGGGCAAACCCACTATGGTGGGGCTTGGGCAGCAAGTCCTGCCTTCCTGAGGACCTGCATCCCCTGGGGAGCTGCTTCAGCCCTGCCAGGCTCGGGGCAAAGGGAGCACAGCAGCCCCCAGGCATGGCAGTGCTGGGGGTCCAACCATTCCTCCTTGCAGATTTTGGGGGAGCCGATGCAGAATCGGAAGCTGGTGGCAGAGATCAGCCTGGTGAACCCCCTCACAGCCCCCCTGAACAACTGCGTGTTCGTGGTGGAGGGCACGGGCCTCACTGATGGGCAGCAGTCCAAGGAGCTGTAAGACCTTTTCCTCCCTTCACCCAGGGCCAGTGGGAATGGGGTGGGAGCAGATTTTTGTGCCTGGGATCCCCCAGGGACGGCAGCCCCGAGTTCCAGCTCTGCTATGGGCACAGTGGGAGCTGCAGCTGTGCTGGTCCCCATGGGGAGTCAAGCATTTCTGCCCCAGCTGGGGAGGGGGCTCGGCCACACCCCTGGGGTCCCTGCACCATCCTGCAGACACGGGGAGGGGGACAGGTCACCCCACTGACCCTCTGCCCCCCCAGCGAGGAGCCGGTGGAGCCGCAGGCAGAGGGCA